TTGCACGTGCAAAGTTCGGAGATATTCTACAGTCAGTGTGGATGCAATCACGTTGGACTGTGTGGCAGCGTTTGTTGAGACAGATCCATCTCGTCAAGCTCAAAGTTGTTATATAGATACTCAAAATTAGGTTTGATTCTGACAGGGACAGCAGTGCTAGTAATAGTAGACAAATCATAATATCAAGAACAAGTTCTCTAACCTCAAAAAGACAATGGAGAAAGGTCGAACAGTTTAATTTAAGAATTAAAAAAAAATGAAATTATCAACTAGTGTATGTACCACTGCTGGTAAGTTGGTACGGTCCACCGAAACCATGTGTCTCTTTGACTGCTCATAATAACTCCAGACTGAAATATATATACCATCATATGGATTGAGTTTTGGATACAGCAGATTACAAATTTGTATGTAACATCTCCAAGAAACAATTAAGTTTATCGTTCCTTACCCAGACATCCCAAAACAATAATTTTTCTCCGGTGTTAAATGACAGCTTAAATTCCTATCTTTTTTAATTCACATGCAATGTTATATATATATACCAGTGTAAAGCTTACAAGACTACAGGTAGTCATACCAGGCCCAGTAGTATAGTAGTATATGCATTCATGGCTCCCATGACTGAAATACTTATTGACAAGCACATACAAACCGAAATTTTGGCTACTAAAGGATCTTTCATGCCAAAAAATTGCACCAAGACTCGGCGTTTCAGTGAGAGCTGTATACTAGACTCTTAAAGAGAGAATATGAAACAGGCACTGTTAATAATAACAGTGGTTGAATGTTACCTCGAGAACAGCAAGATGCATACAGCACGAAGTAGTCTCAATGAACCAAGATATTTAAGTGGGTTTCGGAAAATAAATGGCAAAATGTATATACTTGGAGAAGTGTTACTCTTCTTAGTTGGAACCAGATTCGAAGTGCTTGGAAACAATAGTTTGTTCGACTGTGAACTCTTCTTGGTTCGAACCAGATTCGAAGTGCTTGGAAACAATAGTTTGTTCGACTGTGAACTCTTCTTAGTTGGAACCAGATTCGAAGTGCTTGGAAACAATAGTTTGTTCGACTGTGAACTTTTCTTAGTTGGAACCAGATTCGAAGCGCTTGGAAACAATAGTTTGTTCGACTGTGAACTCTTCTTAGTTAGAACCAGATTCGAAGTGCTTGGAAACAATAGTTTGTTCGACTGTGAATTATTCTTAGTTGGAACCAGATTCGAAGTGCTTGGAAACAATAGTTTGTTCAACTGTGAACTCTTCTTAGTTGGAACCAGATTCGAAGTGTTTGGAAACAATAGTTTGTTCGACTGTGAAGAAGAGAGCAGTAAATGGTCAATGTACAACATTTACAGTGGAGAATGGTAAGAGATTACTACGTGTTTAGAGCTGCATCTCAGTCGAATAGTGAAGAGTAACACAGGACATTACAACATAACAAAGGAAATTATAACATCATACAGGACATTATAACATCATACCGGATAATATAACATCATACAGGACATTATAACATCATACCGGATAATATAACATCATACAGGACATTATAACATCATACCGGATAATATAACATCATACAGGACATTATAGCATAACACAGGACATTATTAAACAATCGTAAATTGATAAACTGCATGATAGTGTGAAAACAAGGTGTAACGTTCTGCTTAAAGCAAAGGACCCACATACAAAATATAATTGCGGTGTTCACCATCTTCACGTATGTTTTGTATTTTCTGTGATAACGTTTTGAACCATTAATAACATCGCCATCTACATACCATTTCTGGTTTTTGACTCCTGCACGCGTATTGCTCGTGTATTTCCATAATCATTTCCACTGCTGTATAAATACACACCTATATCTATCAATCATACCTATGCTTCTAATATTTGCATGCCATGTTACCATAATTAAATGCACTGTTCTCAAGAACCCATACACACATTCTTTATATCTTATAACCAACTTGGATATAAACTGAACTTAGGTTTTCTCGAAAAGTACGATAATACACCATAAAACTGAAAATTTCACAACGCTCCAGTTTTGATTTCCAAGATTGGTATTACAAAACTGTTCCGTGATAGTGCTCGAGAAACCGAGTTGTTCTACAGGAAGTTTCAAAATAAATTCTATGGAAAATTTAAAGTTGTTCCAATCACCACTTACTCCACTGTATCGAATACTGTGTGAATTGTTCATTTCAACCATATCAGTGAACAAACGTAGATCATGTTTGTTCGTTAACCACAAAGTTACACAATGAGCTATCTTTGCTCTATTCACCGCGGATATCAAAACCCAAATTTCAGTGTTATGAGCCCTCAAACTTATATCGCTGAGCCACCAAAGGGTAAAGAGACGAGTAACCTTAAAACTTTCTAGACTAATTCAATTTTATAGTAAAAGTATATGATCAATGAATCATTTTCTTTCACTCAACGTCAGATTTACATCCATTACAAACTGATATGCTTTGCCTTACCATTCACAATAACAGGCACTTTTGTTAACGTAGAGGGTGGTGGATTTACGTCGTTGAAAAACGTTATACAGACAATTCTTATTTCACAATAAAACGAAATCAGTCGTTTCGATAGAAAAACAAAAAATTACATTCTCACCCAACTACTAAAAACCTGTTATATTTCAAGAGGGTACTGCTCCCGAAAGTAATATAACAAGTGTGAATATGTGTTCCATTTCCATTTCAAACGGTGATACGGAAATGATTTATAAAACAACGAAACGTAATATTGTAGGCCTGAATTATACGCCCAGTAAAAAAAGAAAGCAAGCATATAACGAGATTCGTGTTTTGTTTTTTTTACAAGACATTTGTTTGTTTGTTTTTGAATTTCGCGCAAAGCTACACGAGGGCTATCTGCGCTAGCCGTTCCTACTTTAGCAGTGTAAGACTAGAGGGAAGGCAGCTAGTCATCACCACCCACCGCCAACTCTTGGGGTACTCTTTTACCAACGAATAGTGGGATTGACCGTCACACTATAACGCCCCCACTGCTGAAAGGGCGAGCATGTTTGGTGGGACGGGGATTCGAACCCGCGACCCTCAGATTGCGAGTCGAGCACCTTATCCACCTGGCATTGCCGTACAAGACATTTAATGTACTACTGACTCCCAAACAAAACTAGTATTAAATAGATTACATTCCTGGATAATTAGACGGCAAGATCACTGTTGTTGAACCTATAAACATGAAATCACTTACATTTGTATAGAAAGAGGTAGGTGTTGAGAAGATCTGTAATATTAGAAATGCCTGTAAGTAAAGGGATTCGCTTATGATCTCACTCTACATATTTCATCACGTTCATATCAAGATGGATTAGGGTTTCCAAGTTACGCAACAACTTCTTTAAAAAAAAACTAACAGCAATGCTTTTAAACTACACACAAGAAATCGGTTAATGATTACACCGGAAACTTACGTTGCCTTATGTTTGACTGAAAGTTGTTTCTATTTTTATCATTAGTTTGATTTATAAAGGAGTAACTGTCCACTCAGTCATCCTGTACATCAATAGTTATAATATAGTAACTGTCCACTCAGTTGTCCTGTACATCAGTAATTGTAATAAGGTAACTGCCCACTCAGTCGTCTTGCACATCAGTAATTATAAAGGAGTAACTGTCCACTCAGTCATCCTGTACATCAATAGTTATAATATAGTAACTGCCCACTCAGTCGTCTTACACATCAGTAATTATAAAGGAGTAACTGTCCACTCAGTCATCCTGTACATCAATAGTTATAATATAGTAACTGTCCACTCAGTCGTCCTGTACATCAATAGACATAATATAGTAACTGTCCACTCAGTCGTCCTGTACATCAGTAATTGTAATAAAGTAACTGCCCACTCAGTCGTCTTGCACATCAGTAATTATAAAGGAGTAACTGTCCACTCAGTTATCTTGCACATCAATAGTTATAATATAGTAACTGCCCACTCAGTCGTCTTGCACATCAGTAATTATAAAGGAGTAACTGTCCACTCAGTCATCCTGTACATCAATAATTATAATATAGTAACTGTCCACTCAGTCATCCTGTACATCAATAATTATAATAAAGTAACTGCCCACTCAGTCATCCTGCACATCAACTGAGTGGGTAGTTACTTTACTACAATTATTGATGTGCAAGTGGGCATTTACATTGATGTGCAAGATGACTGAGTGGACAGTTACTTTATTATAATTATTGATGTGCAACGTAACTGAGTGGACAGTTACAATGTCTTGCACATTAATAATCATTACCGAATTAACAGTGCTTCACTTTTTATGTAGGCTACATACGTTCAACTTGTTTAGAAAACAGAACTTTGTGTTATTCAGTTTGAAAACTATTTCCCATCAACGAAAATATCGATTACTTTACTCAATCAATACACGTCTGTGCTGCTGGTATCAGTCGCCACTAATCTAGCCGCTTGTTTAATATCAGAAATGCCCAGTTGGTTTAATTAGAGGACGATTTTAATTGTTCAGTCGCTAGACTGCTTGCTATTCGCTAAATCAATGTATTTAAGTACTAACAAAAACAGAATGATTTAGTTCTTAATTGTAAAATTGTAAAGACAACAAATTGTATCTTTTCAACCGTTAAAATAATACACTTTGATGATATTATCTTATTATTTCATCCTGATTGATGTTCTTCGAGTTAATAGAGAAATGCTTGCTCCTGACCAAATCAAGTACTGTTTCCTTAGTTTGAATCTAGTTTCTAATTTCATGCTCTGTTTAGCAGACGCCAACTTACAACCTTCCACGGATCTGATTTTATTAATAATACTGTCCGATTAAAGTTATGATTTAAGAGATAATTTTTATTTCTAATTGTAATAAAGATTAGTACTGTCTCTCAAGTATCGGCCTTTAGTGTCTCAGAACCTCTGTCATTCAAAATGTCTGTGAGAGTGACGTAAATATAACTGCGGTATCATTACGAAATACTCACTAAGCACCTTCGCAGGTCCCCCTAGTGGAACAGCAGTAAGTCTTCGAATTTACCACGCTAAAATCAGGGGTTCGATTCCCCTTGTTGGACACGGCAGATAGCTCGATGTGGCTTTGCTATAAGAAAAACACACACACACTCACACACACATACACAGACGGCTTTTTCATTACATTATATTGACACATAAAACTTTATTTAGCTACCAAAAGATGGCGCTAAATTAGTTATAAATTTAAAATGTTCGTAATGATAAGAATAAGTTTGCTTGTTTTCAGTACTATTGGGTATCACACTCTTAATTCGTAAGCAGTTATTTACTTACCTTCATTGTAGATGGTGATACATAATGATTGAAGGTATTGTGTTTGTTTGTAAAGGGGTTGGGGACTTCGCAAAAGTGCTATCTTCAGTTTTTTGAAAGTGTTAATACAGATATAAACCTCCAATAAATACAACTTACGATCCAATGTTTTCGTCACAGTGAATAAGGTATATACACATTTATATGTATAATCACGAACAACAATATATTCAGACGTAGCTGCTCGAAATGAAATCAAGATACAGCTGCTCGTGCAGATTGTGAGATGTTAAACACTAGCGAGAGCGCGCTGATAACTACTGTCTCATTCAACCTACTCCATCTATGCTCTCGAGATAAGACGTAAATTTTAAGTGTTTTATCGAGAGAAAAAATCCTTTAGGACTTTTAAAATAAACGAATAACAAACGTACTTTAGTGATGTAAGCTAAAAATGGCAATATTCCTTAATTTTTGGAACAACTTTCAGAAAATAGTTTCAAAAGTAAAATACAATTTAGTTTTTTTTTATGTTTGATATATACGAAAGTGAATGCGGAATAATCCAGACATTGGGGAAAAAAATAAAAATTCGAACGAAAATGCCAAAGCTCGAATCCTTGCCTTGGCTTGAAACAGATTGCGTTATTGCGTGTGTTGGTGAAAATGTCACTATTTCATCAGAGAAGTATTGAAACAACAGAATAAAAATTCTTGGGCTCAATCTCGTCTGTTTCAAGAATGGTAAATAACGTGACTATGAATGATAGGAATTTTTGAAATCTATGAATCAACTTAGTTATCCAGATTACTACTATTTGCATCGAATATATCGCTAGCGATATTCAACCTTTATAATACATCGATTGACGTAATTACTCAATTTTGGATATTTTTCACAAACTATACAAAAATTAATTACTTATTTATGCGAGAACGAATAAAAAAAAACCTATTTATCAGATATGGGAGAAGATCAAATAACCTTTCTTTATAAGCTGTCTGTACGCAGAAATAACTCTGTGAAAATTATTTTTGCCTCAAATACCACTTGTTCTAATTATTATAACCACAAACTGGAATAACACAAACGCAGCTCCTAATACGCGTTTGTTTGTTTCATAATTTCCACAATATTTCCCGTCCCACCAAACATGCTCGCCCTTTCAGTCGTGGGAGCGTTATAACGTAACGATCAATCCCACTATTCGTTAGTAAAAGAGTAGCCTAAGAGTTGGTTGTTGGTGGTGATGACTAGCTGCCTTCCCTCTAGTCTTACACTGCTAAATTAGGGACGGCTAGCGCGGATAGCCCTCGTGTAGCTTTGCGCGAAATTCATAACAAACCAAACCAAACCAATTTCCACAATGCTACAGATGGGCTATCTGCGTATAGCCGTTAATAATTTTGGACTCATAAACTTAAGGAGTAGGCAACTAGCCAACAGCGTCTATCGCCAACTCATAGGTTACTCTTGTCTAATCGAAAAATGTGTTTAAGGCTCCTCAGCGTAGAGCGAATTTTGGCGGCAATGGGCCACAAGCCATTAATTCTTGGAGTCACTGTCGGGGCACGCTAACCACATAACCACGCATGGCGCATTAATAAAATAACTTTACTTATATTTCAAATGTAAATATACGAGAAAAACTAATTATTAAGTTTGTTTAGCTTAATAACTGATTACCTAAGGCGTAAGTTGCTGAATTAGTTACGGTGGCAAAAATCAATAGGCCTATCACGAGTTCATTGTGTGCAAAAAAATTGTCACGTTTTACAAAAATAATCAAGGAATCGCCTTGTAATATTTAAATGTTATGGTATCTATGCTTTTATAGAACTTTTTATAGATTTTACTAACAATACCATTGCAAGGACTGTAATAGTAACACTGCAATAAATTTGTTTGAAAATGCCACACCCACATTTGATAATATGATAGATTAGATTTACTTATGATACCGCTGTATAATGCTTTAATTGTAAGGAGCTTTAAAGCAAGTCTTCGAAATTCATATTACACAGGCGCCACACATCCAAACTTTGAATACTAATTGGTATACATATATATTTTAACACCGTTGCCATTTCCAGAGTGCGCGGCAGTCCTGTCACCTGGTGGATGTTTATGAAGCATCTACACGCGTGCCAAGTAATGGATATCTTCATGAGATGCTTTTATAATTCACTTCTTAAAACAATGACTTGTCATTTAAAAATGGAATAAAAACATTTGTTGGGATAAGAGAAGAAATTTGACTACCAAAGATAAGACAATGACAAAAAAAGGCTTACCAATTATTCACATACAAGCAGAGACCCGCAAAATATCTGCGGTCAAATTAGTATCGTTATTGCAACAGTAGTTCTTTAAATACAGGATTTCTAGAGTAATCCAAAATAATTGTAATCGTCAACATTGAAGTAAGTCTACTTGTCTTAGGCCTAACATTACGTAAGCATTTATTAAATACGGCCTAAATTTGATAAAGAGATAAATTAACACTGTAACATCTGTACGTTTTTTGCTTTAGTTTTTAGTTAGGGTTAAACTTTACCGTATATAATACTATCAATAAATAAACTTATAATGTTATTCTACAACCTAACGTTAGACGTTTTTAAAACTTCGATAAACTTTTAATATGTTGTTGTACAAAATATCTGTTCAAGTATAATGACGTCCATCTTTCGTTTACATCCTTTGAAATACAATTCGCGCATGCGCATTTAGTTTTCAGGACAAAAAAACGAACAAAACAACTGAGTATTATTATAATAATAGATGCTAATCCAGAAAAAGTAATTATCTGTACTATTAAGAATTTAGGTAAGCACTACAATCGTGCAGTGTGGTATTTTAGAATGCATTTTCTTATTTCAAATACACGAAAAAACAAAAACAGTTTTATTGTAATTCCGATATATATTGCATTCGTTCACCAATAAGATCATAAACATAGTTTGGAAGTTCATTGCTTTTTTCATACCTGTTTAACTTTCGATAGCAATTACTGAATTCACGAACCTGGAAAATAATAATTTCAACGTGTAATGAATCTTAAAGCATATTATTAATATGAAAACACGATTAACGAAAGAAAGTATTTATTGTAACAAAAGTAGAATTTTTATTATTTAATATGCACAAAGAAAGAGGTAGTTAACATAAATATTTGATTTACAAAATTAAGAAAAAAGAAGTCAAATGAGATTTTAATGTCTCTACTAACTCATTAATTTTTTTCTCTAAAGCTATGCAAATTTCCATCGATAAGTTCTAGTAAACTCTCATAAACACCAGGAGTCTCTTTACTGAATTATGCACCGAATGTATTATCGATGCCTGAACATTATACGAATGTAAATTAAAGAAAATTATGCTGAAAGAAACGAAGGTATAGAATAGAAGTGTCCACTTTTTATTCTCCAAATTGCCAAATGCTAAGAGCCATTCGGCCATTTTTGTAATGACAAAGTTTAAAAATGTTAGCTGTGAATAAAGTATAAACAACTTACTGCGTCGTTTTTGTTTTTTTATCTTCTTTCATTATTTTGAAAGTAGGAAAAATTCACGTCGTGTTAAACAATAGCAAACCGAATTTGTTGAAATTTATAAAACGGATCCGTTTCGGACAATTTACTCTTTGCAAAAACAATTTTCTTTAGGAAATTACTGAACAGATTAAAGTACAAAGTATTTATTTTTTATCTTTTTATGCTATTCCTTTTCGAAACAATAACTTTGGTCGAAAAACATCACTGTATAGTAAGCATATATAACTCAACACAAAAGAATATAACATGAACTTTATGAGCAAGACTAACGATAGCCGCGCACCATTTTGGAGAAAGAAAATACAAACTTATTAATTAATAATTAAGTCTACTAAGTAACACCGTTGACGGTCTCTTTACATCAAGTTCCTTCATTCATTATTACGTTTTTTGTTGTTGTTGTGTTTTTTTTTTTGCTAATTTTCAGGAACCTTTCTGTTAGTGTGGTTTAAGTAATCCTCGAAACTAGCAACAGAAATTGAGATGGAGTGGAGCTCGGTTTTAGATTCAGAACAGCTTTATGTTATTGAAGTTATAATTCAAGAAATAATTGATATCTATTTTGTTTTGATGACAATCAAGCATAAAGTAACGAATCAATAGTCCCACGTGCATGTAGGCGATGATCAAATATTATAGATGTATCCGTCATATGTTTTTAGTGTCATAAAAACAAGATTAAATAAAAGAAAAAAATCGAAAAAAATTCTAACAAATCTGTGAAACGAAAAATGAACCGTCTTTTGCTGTTACTAGAAAGTTATATAATCTATGACTATCTACCCAGCCAACAAGTTGTTTCGAGGAGCTTACTGAACCAATTTTTATTAAATGTGGTGGAAGAACTCGTGTGGACCCTTGAAAGATCGACTGTAAACGAATAAGTAATCAGACAAACAGTTAAAGTTTCTACTGATTTCAACTTTACAACCGTAATACTGTGATTGAAGGCTCAACTGAGCAAGGACGTTGGTAATAAAGTTTTTGAAGCCGATACCAAACGAAAGTGACGTTTAAAACCGTGCGAAACACGGGCATCTTTAAATCGAAACGACGGCTCATGTGCTACGACTCAAAAATAGTGTGATAGGGCGGCCCATGCTCCCATATATAAAAATAGTTTTCTAAACCCGGCATTGCCAAGTCATCTTTGCTAGTCTAATATAAACAAACTTAAAAACAGATAAACATTGTGCAATAATAAAATTTAATTTTTTAATGAAAAAAAAATACATATGAGAGTATATAATTACAGG